ATTCATTTTAATCAAAGACTCAAACTATTAGCTTCCTAATCTGCTGAGATGTGAGAAGCCCCAGCCCACATACTCTCACCTTGTCTTCTCTGCCACGATGGACTGTACCCTTTAAAACCAGGAGCCAAAGAAAACCTCCCCTCAAGCCTTACATATTGTAAACATTTGGCCAATGACAGCTACTGTGGTTCATATCATGAATATCACATAAGCACACCACCAATCCATAGATACAGCTAGTCACTATAAATAACAGATATTGACCATGTGTTCCCTACTACACATGGTGCTGATGATTTTATATGTTAGCCATATGCACATAATCCATGTAATATCTGAACTAAATAGGTACTATGACTAGTCCGGTTTCTCACAGGAAACTGAGGCCCAGAGAGATCGAACTGCTTTGCATACTGGACACAGAGCTAGTCCCAGTGAAGTTGTGACCTAAGTTCAGGATAGCTAACTATTGTTCTGGCCTCCATGCATCACTCCTGCCTTGCCACTCTATCAGTCTATCCCTTCTCCCTGCCTCACCTCTGCTTCAGCTCTCCATACTGTCTGCCCCTCCTTGTATCATGTAGAAATAAAAGAAAGTCTCACACCTACTCATCGAAGGAAGAGGCTTGGTTCTGACCACACATCCCACCATCTATGGCTGTGCCCTGGGTCAACACCTTTCATACTCCAATGAAGACCCCTTAGGATCTTTCAGATTTTTGGTTTTTCATCAATATTCAGTTGCTTCTAAGAGATTGCACCGTTTGTTCATTTATTCATCATCCATTCATTCATCCATGCTATAAATACTGTATCAGGTTTGAGGCTAAGCTTGAAACAATAAACCCCTACCCTTCAGGGACAACAGTGGGTGCATGGGGCTTGGCAGGGATGCAGGGCAGGAGGATGAGATTCAGGGGTTGCCCAGTGGAAACCAGAATGGAGAACGGCTTCCACCATTCTGCATGCCCATCATACCGGCATCACCAAGACTCCAGCACACAGCATCTCTGAGCAGGGTCTATAGCCCTTACCTTGGCCTCATATCCAATCCATTTGGGGAGAGAGAGAGAAAGAGAGAGAGAGAGAGAGAGAGAGAGAGAGAGAGAGAGAGAGAGCATAGTATCCTCATTTCACCTTTGGGAAACAGATGCAATTTTCCTTAGGAAGTTGCCAAAAACATGAGAAAAAAAAACCAAGGAGAGACTGAGAGACTCACTCTGTGTTTCACTAACAGATGTAACCTTGCTTTTTAGGGAGCATTTCTTCCAGAATGTTGTCAGCAGTGTGGCCAGGCTCCTGGAGCTGGGGAAGAGCCAGACACATCAGGTCTCTAAGCCTGGCTGGTGATGTATTTACTATATTGACTTAGCAATACCACTTTCCTCTGGATTCTCCTTTCCAAAAATGAAGCCAATGTTGTCTTCCTCCTTCGCTGGGCTATTTGATGGGGGCTTTAAAAATAAATCCATCTGTGCATATTCAATTCCCAGCACCCAACAGACACTCAGTATGTTATTTTGATGAGCCCTGCTTTTAGAGTTGGTTCTGGGTCTGAGGTCTCTTCCACTTGCCAGCTGGGGGCTAAGTGGCATTCTTGAATCTCTGTCCCCAAATCCTAGTGAGAATTATATGAAAACAACCAGGAATCTATGGAGCACTGCCCACATAATGCTTGTTGGTGCTGTTGATTCTGTCATTGATGCCACTATCAATTCAACATGAAAATATTTCCATCTTGACTTTTACATACCTATGCATGTGCACATGTGCTCATACACACATGTACGCATGTGCGTGCGCATACACACACACCATATGTGATTGAAACCATCATATAGAGATCCAAATGGGGTAGGAGGCAGTGTCCTATGGCTCATTCCTTTTGGGAAGGATATCAAATAGGGACCCACAGAAATTTCTTGCTCTGTATATTTTCCAGGAATAAGTATCCTGGTGACATTGTGTTCTGTCCCCATTGTGAGGAGGTTATTAAAATGTAGGGTTTTAAGATTCAGATTCTTTATGTTCTGACCTGGAGTTAGGGGCTACGAAGGGTTGTGGTTTTGAGAGAGAAAAGAGCCCCCCATTGTCAGCCCTTGCCCTATTGCTTTTGCTGCCTGGTATGAAGCAGCCAGTTCACATCTTGGGTTCCCTGGCGTATTGCAAAGTGGTGCCATCTCCTCCTCCTCTTCCTCCTCCTCCACCTCTCCCCCAACCCCCCACCCAGCCATTCTCAGAGACTTGGCTGGCTCCGAAGGTTCCAGACAGTGGAGCTAAACACGTTAGCCGACAGACGAGCACGGCACAAGAGGCGGCAGGAATCAAATAAAAGGCAAACGCGGCAGCCACAGGTCAGTGCTGTATAAATATTTATGCTGGAGGAAAAGTTGGTGGCTGAGTAACGACCTTGTGGCTGGTATTAATAGAGATAATGTGTGTCTCTAGAACGTGCCGCCAGAGAGAGAAAGGAGTGGGCGAGGGGGAGGCAGGGGCGAGAGCGGGATGTTATAAATCTTCGTGCCAAGCCCAGACCCTACTGACCTCTCCTCCCCGCCCCCTAACTCATGCCTGCATCTTCACATCTATTTTTCCTCCCTTTTGGCCAGGCTGTCTCAACTAGGGCACCCGCTCATGTCTGTATCAGCTACCTGGGATGGACTCCTCTCATGGCAGACTGCACCAAGTAAAAGTATATCGCTGGTGCTTCATAAAGACATGAGACAGTGAGTTGGTTGAAGATGTACTTCACACCTCACATTTCTGTTACCCCCAAAATGGGACCCAGTTTTGTCTTTCAAGGGTACCTGGCATCCCTGCTCTGCTGTGAAGTGGCAGCTGAGGGGGCCATCCTCATGCTGCCTGCCCAGGTTCTTTCTCTTTCAAAAACTCCCCAGTAGCTTCCATAGTCTTCAGATGGAACCCCAAGTCTGTGGCCTATTGAGGGGGACAGTCTTAGGGAGACCTTGTTTCTCCTTGAATGCCTCTTCCCTGTCCTCTGTGGCTTCCCTGCCCAGCGAAACAAAACTGCTATTAATTCTCAAAAACCTATATTCCTATTCCTACCCAGGTTTCCTCATGTCATTCTATTTCTTCTCTCTGGCACTCCAATTTTTTTTCTATGGGATGGCTGGGGAAGTGCTGAGCATAGAACACAGGACTTTGTCAAGCCAGTACTCTAGTGACAGACACACCTCAAGCCTTTCTCCTGTCTGTTTTGAGAGAGGTGTTTCTGTTGCAGCCTTAAATTTGTGATCCTCCTGCCTCTGCCTCTGCCTCTGAACACTGAGCTACCAATACATCAGGTGCTATGTTTCTATATAAAGCACTCTGTTAGCATTATTTAGGCTCCTGGAAGAGAGTTTATATCTCTTTCTCCAAGACACTTTCCTTTTGTTTAAGACTTTGTTCTATGTTTATGTGTGTGCATGTGCCCTTGACTGAAGTGCCCATAGAGGCCAGAAGAGGGAGTCAGATCCCCTGGAGCTTGAGTTACAGGAGATTGTGAGCTGTCCATGGTGGATGCTAGGAACCAAACTCAGGTCCTCTATGAGAACAGTGGGAACTATTGAACCATCTTTTCAGTCTGCTTCCCTGTTTTTAAGGCCCCTTTTCTCTTGGTCCCCAAGGAGTCTGTGCCTCCTTCAGTCATCCCATTGAAGAGTGGATGGTGTATGATTTGTCTCTCTTTTTCCTGAAATATCTGGGTATCAGAAAATCAACAGACACTGGCCACTGTATCCTCACACCTAAAGTTAAACTGACTATCTTGGTGGGCCTTAGGGATTATCTGTCAGCTAAGTCACAGAGACAAGACCATGCCCTCTTAATGCTTAAAAAGAGATGGGCTCAGAGTCTCTCCATCTTGGATGTAACAAAAGTACATACCTTAAAAATCTAGAAAAGGAGGGGCTGAGAGCAGGGCTTGGTGTGAGTATGAGACCAATCCCCAGATCCCATGTGAAAACTGAGCACAAGGGCAGGCACCTGTAATTCCAGTGCTGGGGAAGTGGAGACAGGAGGATCCTGGAGCTCTCTGGACAGCCATTTGGGCCAATAGTTGAGCTTCAGGTTCAATGAGAGACCCTGCCTCAAAAATAAGTGAATGATTGAGGAAGGCACACCACATTGACCTATAGCCTCCACACATGTGCATGCATGTACACCCATGTACACAGACACACACACACACACACACACACACACACACACACACGCCACAGAGACTAAGTTCTATTTTTACCAGGACATGAGAGCTGGGACTTTCTACCCTCTGCTTCCAGAAAGAGCTACTACTTCATGGCAAGTTCCCTGAACCAGGCAGAAGACAGCCCACATGCTCACACTGCTTCAAAAGACAGGGAGTGCAAAACAGAGAACAGCTGAACTTGCTCACAGACTCCAAGACAGCATCCCAGATGTAAGATGCCCATGGGCTGTCTTAGTACCAAACAGCAGGTCCTGGGAGCTGACCATGTCTCCCAGGGTGGGGAACCATGAAAAAGGTCTTCCCTACCTTGCATTCCACCACCATTTCCTGAAGCAAATCCCCACTGGAGACAGCAATACTTCCTCCCCTGAAACCACAATGGAAGACTTCATAGCCCCAATTTCTGTGGTCCTGAGAAAAGAATGGGGATGCAGCTGTCTGCTGACACATCTGTGTGTCTGCCCTTATTACAGCCTGTTTCTTCCCATTCTTAAGCTATCCTTGGAGCAAAATAGGCATTGATTTCTTTTCCAGACATGGTAGCTGAGGCTGGTAAGGACGAGGGTTTGTACTGACCTCAAGTTGTGTGCCACCATGTCCTAGCTCTCTACACTGTCTTAAGGGACGAACCTTTTCCTTATTCTGTCCCCTTTGTCCCATTGACTCTAGAAATAGGTACCAAGCTAATAGACAGCACCTGCTGTCTAGAGCAGTAGCTGAAGGATGGGACCAATTGACCTTGATGTTGGCCAAAAGGGCAGAGCTAGAGGCAGCTGGGTCGGTTCCAGAACCTATTTTGGAAGCTTTAGTTCCTTATCTGGAGAAGACAGTAGAGGCATAGGAACTACCACCACACACCCACATTTACTACAGCCCTGCTCACAACAGCCAAGATGACAAAACAGCTCAGATGTCGGTCTGTGGGTGAGCAGAACATAAGGGGATACTATGCAGCCTTTCAAAGGGAAGGGAATCATTGTACACACAGCTATAGATAAGCCTTGATAGCGATGTGCTAAGAGAAGCCAGGCATGGGAATATCAATGGTGTATGATTCTACTTGCATGGGACACCTAGAATGGTCAATTTCCCAGAAACAGAAAGCAGGATGGTAGCTCACCAAGGGCTTGGGGGAGGGTAGTTCTGGGAGTTGTGATTTCATAGAGACCTACTGCTGCAGTGTGGAGAGATGGGAAGTTCTGGAGATAGACATGGGGGAGGGGGTTCACAGCAATGGACCGGCTCCTGTCCACTGGCTTGCATGCTTCACCTAAGTTACAGTGTGGTCTCTCAAGCTCATGCTGTATCATTTTCCGAAAAGCCGAGAGATAAAAGTGGGGCTGTGGAGAGAGCTCAGTCATAAAATGCTTGCTGCACAAACAGGAGGGCCTGACTTGGAATCTCCAGAATCCATTAAAAAAAAAGTAGACACATGCTTATGAGCCCAGCAATGAGGAGGTAGAGACAAGATGATCCTGGAGCTCACTGACCAGCCAACCTCATGTTACCAGTAAGTCCTGATTGGTAAGTTTAGTGGGAGACTCTGTCAAAAAAAAAAAAAAAAAAAAAGTCAAAGAAGATAGCTCCTGAGGAATGACACAGCAGGTTGACCTTTGGCCTCTATATTCATGCTTGCACATGCTCACAGTACAAGTGCTCTCCCCCCCCCACGCACACAGAAAAAAAAAAAGGAGGAAAAGGAGGAGGAGGAGGAGGAGGAGGAGGAGGAGGAGGAGAAGATGAGGAAAGAAAAGCAAAATCAAAGGATTTGAAAATAGAGTCAAAGCCGGGCAGTGGTGGCACATGCCTTTAGGCCCAGCAAAGGCAGGTGGATCTCTATGAGTTCAAGGCCAACCTTGTCTACAAAGCTACACAGAGAAATCCTGTCTCAAAAAAAAAAAAGAAAGAAAGAAAGAAAGAAAGAAAGGAAAAGAAGGAAGGAAGGAAATAGAGTCTAGTTGGGATGCAATTATGTTAGTTCAGAGGGAAGGATAGAGGTGGGAAAATCCTGGCTGCTAAACCCTCCCCTCTTACTACTCTGCCATGGGGCCCTTATCCAAGTCCTGTATGAAAAGCCATTTCTAGAAGCACACAGAATATGAGTAATAACAATCCACACACACACACACACACACACACACACCTGAGAGGGCCACAACTGGCTTCATCCCAAGCTTCCTCACTAACACACTCTATTTGTGCCCCCAAAGCCTTCACTCATTTAGGACTAAAAATAAATAAAAATAAAAAAGGAAAGTCTGATGAGAGTAATTTGGTGGTTTCAAATGTGCTTTCCCCAGAAGCAGTCTTGAAAAGTCTGAAAACCGCAGCAAATTTTTTGCAAAGTGAAGTTTAGCCACCACTTGCCTTGAATGTGGATTTATTTTCAATTTTAATAAAACTCAAAGCAACCTAATTTGCACTATTTGTGTGTCTCAGCTCTTGAGACAACACACCTCCAGCCCGACAGAGTCTGCAAAGGGAATTGAGAGGCAGGCTCTTTTTTTCCTCACCAAATTAATTACCTGATGGACACAGCCGATGGGAGTTTCTCACTCTCAGGTCACCACAGTGTGGTGGAACACAGCAGATCACAGTGTGGTTGGTCTGTGAGGAAGTAGAGATTCAGCTCTTTTTTTTTCCATCTAGCCCTCCTGTTCCTGAGATGGGGGTCACTTACATTCAGGGGCATTTCCCTCATGACCACACCCAAAAGTATGTCTGAGTTTCCTAGGTGGGTCAAAATCCAGTCAAGTTGATAGTGAGGACTGGTGGCTTCAATGAGAAATGTCCTCCATAGCCTTAGGTGTCTAAACATTTAGTCCCCAGTTGGTGGCACTGTTTTTGCCTGCACCCTGCTCGCTTCCCCCTCCAGGCAGGCTCACACCTCTCCTATCTTCCTGGCTTCCCACCCTTAGCCATTTTACTCTTCCCCTCCAATACTTACCACGCCTTGCCGGCACTTAGTAGCTGTGAAGGGTCCAATCGTGTGGTTGATCTCTAATGTAAGGTTAATGCCTAATTAGCTCATCTAGCATTCAGTTTTGTGGATAATTCATGATAGGTCATTATCAAAAGCCAGGGCAAGTGCAGGGGCGCGTTCACAGCCATAAATCAGAGTCCTAAAGCATTGGAGAAGCAGGAAAATGCATGCATTATTCAGGTCAAGCAAAGAGCCAGAGCTGTGTGAGACACCTCAATGCTCTTTTGACCCTGAGGTCCATCCGGGGACCACATGCAAAGCCAAGCAACATTTACTGTGAACATATATGGCTTTCCAAGTAGAGACACATCTCCTGGTCAACATATGGCCTCATAGCAGACACAGAGCTGCCAGACTGAAGCATCCCTCAACTAACAAATAGCACACAGCTGCCATCCGGGAATAAGATGCCTTTTATCAGTCGCCTGCCAAAGGACCAAATTAAATGTGCATGTGCCCACTTGAGTGTATGTGTTCTTGGTGGGGAGGGGGTAATTAATATACTCGTGTGCGCATGCACACGTGTACGGAGGTCAGAGGACAGCTTTGGGTGTCATTCCTCCAGCTCTGTCCACCTTGTTTTTACAGACAAGGTCTCTCACTGCTTTAGGCTCACTAACTAGGTTTGGATGACAGGCCAGCAAGCCCCAAAGATCTGTCTGTCCCTAGCTCACTGGCACTGTGATTATAATGTCATAATGTGGGTTTCAGCGATCAAATCTGACTTCTTACGCTTGCAAGGTAAAACTTTACCAATTCTGCTATCTCTCTAGCCTCAAAGAAATCATAGCTTCCTGGGAGCAATGATTCAGATTGTCTGATTTCATCTGGCAATCCTTCCTCCTCTTGCCCAGTGTTCTAGCTATACTAGTCCTGTCCTGTTTCATTTGAGGAAGGGAGGATACCCTCAATTCCTAACCACATTTCACCATGAATCTCCAAGACCCTGGCTGGAGAATGTTTGCCCTTAGCTGGAGGAGAGAAATATATAAATAAATAAAACAAAGGTGGACAAACAACCACTGGTTAACCACAAGCAGCAGAAGCCATCCAACTTCAACAATCTTGCAAGTTGGTCAAACCCAACAGAGGTTTTGCATTGGTTGAAGTATGACATTCGCATGAGCCAGAAATTCTCATGGAACATCCTCTATGTGTTAGGAGTTTGTCTAGGCAGTGGGAAGAAAGGGGTAGAGAAACACAAGACACTGTCTTTTCGGAGTTTGCATGCTTCCCAGGAGAGGGTCGATAGTGAACTGCTTAAATGCGTGGTCTATGATGTGAAGATGATGGGTGGGAACAGCACATGGTGAGGGCTTCTGGGAAGGTGATCAAAGGGCAGTGGACCAGATGCTGATGGAATAGGATCTTGGGAATATAAGGTATGAGCCCTTCACTATTTGGGTGACCAGCAGGATTGTGCATAGACTCTTCGAGAACCCTCAGGAAGAGCAGTATGCATGAGACAGAATGATCAAGAAGGGTGTGGCTGGAAACAAGAACAGAGAGTTCATGGGTTCAGGTCTCTCAGAACCTAGCAAGCCACAGGTAGGTCTCTCTTTCTCTCATTGGTAGTGAGACGGCAGCACCTGAGAGGTCCCAAGCAGAGGACACACCAGGTGTGACTAACATTTCCAAACTTCCTCTCAGGCTGCCTTGATAAGCAGAGGCCACGGGAGTGGAGTCTGGGGAAGCTCGGGTGAGAGGTGATAGTGGCTCAGATCTAGGACCAGGATGGAGACTAGGTGAACTAGACAAATGATCAACCAGTAGCTGCAGAGCAGATAATTTCATTGAAATGGTAAAAGGAATTTTAAAGGAATCGCCTGGGATGCTGCAAGATCACATAACAAAGGGGACGGTCCCTTGTTGTCAAGCAGAGAAGACATCCCAGGAGAGCAGCAGATGAGCTGCTATTGGAAGACTGGGAAAGAGTTGGTTGTAGGAAAGTGAGGAGACAGGCATTTTTAAGCAGGATACTTGCATAGGCCTTGAGGCAGGAAACAGGTGACCAACTACAGACCTGTTTCTGAAATAGGTCATAGCTTAGCCCCTTTACAGAAGGAGGGCTACGCTGGTTCCACACTGCTGCCCATCAATGTCCCCCATCCCCATCTCACTAAAGAGCTTAGGATGCTTTCCATCTTTCCACACACATAGATCATAGATCATCCTGGCTAGATGCCAGCCAGGCTGCAATGATGGGGACTTGTCTTTCCCACAGGTGAGTAAGCCTCTTTGGGAAAGGTCTGAAAACTCCTCCTTTGTCACCGATCCCTGGCTTCAGACAGCTCAGCTGTTGCACAAAGCCAACAAAATGTCAGGGAGAGGACAAGATGGCCTCTCCAAAGGAAAGGCAAGCCTCAGCAGTACGCTGGCCTAGTTAAAGCTTAGCCGCCCTTCTTCTTGCACCCAAATGGACCACACTTGAGAAATTAAATAAACAGCATTTGTCAGGGGCTTTTGTGGGCTTCCAGCTGTATTTATTTATAGGTTGGTCTGTTATTTATGGGCACTCATGCCCAGTGTAAAAGCTTTGTCAGGGAGAAGTGGGAGTGAGGAGGCCAAGAACTTAATGGTCCGGTGGACACCTAAGCATCCACTCCACGGGGCTGGAGAGGCAGTGCTTTCTCCCTCTGTCTCCTGGATGCAGGGTTCTGACTTGCTCCTTGAAAATACCAGGCCACAGGGCTCCTCCTCCAAAGAGTCAAGAGCTCTCTGGGGAGGTCGGAGGCCAAGGAGAAACGAATCATAACCTCAACTCCTTGTGAATTCTGACTCCCAGCTGGGAAGTCTGCATTATTCTACCTGGAAAACAAGCAGGCAAGACTAGAGGTGAGTAGGTGTTCAATAGATGGTGAATGCATGAATGAATATATGTTGTTCCCCCGTGATGAAACTGAAGGGAAACCTCAAGACACCATATGGAATACATCTTAGCAAAAACAACCCCCCAAAATAATAATAGTAATACTATGAATCCAGATTTTTAAAATGTTCCCAGCTTAAGCTTAGTAATTCCAAGAACCCTTCAAAAAGAGAATGGCAGCCTAGATAGAGGAGGGGCTCTCCAGGTCCACCCCTTACCAAGGAGCTATTGGCTGGACAGAGAGAATTATATTTTAGGATGTGCCCACTGGCAGATCACCCCTGCTCCAGGGGATGGCCCCACACTCATGCACATATTGGCAACATGAACTGGACTCGGGGAGTTATCAACAAAAAAGACATGAAGTTGGGAGGAGACATGCTGAGAAGAATGTGGGGAGAGTTGTAGGAGGGAACTGGAAGTTTAAGGAAAAATTATAATAGAAATGAATTTAGGTTAAAATTTTAATTGTTTCATTATTTTTATGTTTATGGGTGTTTTGCCTGCATGTATGTCTGTGTACCATGTGCATGCCTGGTGCCCAGGGAAGCCAGAAGAGGGCGCTGTGGATCCACTGGAGCTGCCGTTGCAGACACTTATAAGCTGCCATGTGGGTGCTGGGAATTGAACCCAGGACCTTTGGAAGAGCAGCCAGTGCTCTTAAACCCTGAGCCATCTCTCCAGCTCCCCAAATTATTTTTTAAGAGAGAGAAAGAACTCCAAGCATTAAGAAAATTATCAGCTGGCAAAATGGCTCAGTGGGTAAAAGTACCTGCCACCTAAGTTTGATTCTTGAGCCTCATATGGTGGAAGGAGAGAACTGGAACCCACCAAGGTGCTTCTCACCTCCAAACACCTGATAATGGAATGAACATTCATGCACACACACATACACACACACACACACACACACACACACACACACACAAACACTCACACACCACACACACATACCACACACAGTCACACATACAACCACACAGGTACCACACACACACAACATATACACATACATACAACATGCACACAACACACACACACACATATAACCAGGGAAGCAGAAAGAAGATGGTATCTCTAGTCTTGCTTTGGGTGAAAAGCTGTGTGTTTGTTTTTAATTGCATTTATTTATGCAGTTGCTTGTGTGCATGAGCACACACCCATGCACTTTAAATGCACTCATAGTTCCATGGCATGCATGAAGAGGCTAGAGGACAGACAGTTGGTTCTCTTCTTCCAGCATGTAAGTCCTGGGGATCGAACTTGGGTTGTCAGGCTTGGTGGCCAGCTCCAAAACTTGTGTTTTTTTGCTAGAGCAAACAAAAGACCATCCTGTCTTTTAAGACACCAAGAAGAAGGGAAGCAGATGTAGGATGGGTTCTGTGGAGTGCTTTAAGGTGAGCTCTGCATCCTCAGAACCAACTGTGGATGCTCTCAGGAAGGGACAAAACCAGAACAGCCCAGCTACCCAAGGAGAAAGGCCAGCTGGAATACTGCCGGTCACATATGTGAGCCGTCTGGATTGGAAAGGAGTACGCTATGTTGGGCACCAGAGTGGGTGGAGGGGCCGGACAGTTGTTTCCCATTAAACTTGGTGGCCTGAGAATTCCTTGAGTGTGGATATGTGCCGGCCCTGGCCTATCCTGGAGGTCAGAGGACTTGAGTCCTTACTACAGCCTGAGAATGTCCATCCTCCTCCTCCAGCCAATGACGAAAGGACCCTGGGGTCTCCCATGGGGGCTTAAAAAGAAAGAAATAGTCAGAGCGCCTTGGGCAGGCCTCCCATCTGCCCCATTCTTCAAGGCCCCTAATTAGCTATTTACATGACAGACCAATTATAACCCTGAAAGAGTGGTCACAGGCTATTGAGTAATTAGTGACATTTTTAAAATGCATTTTAACCACACAAAACCGTGTTTGCACAATGTTCAGAAACTGGCTTCCAACCACAGAAGCGAAAAGAACTCAGCAGAGGTTGGGGCGGGAGGGGGGGTTGGAACGGAATGGAAAACAGGCCCTGGGGGACAAAGGCTGGGCAACTTTTCTCTGTAAAGCTTGGGTGACTTGATCAAGGGCAAGTGGGATCTGAGGACCTACTATGTGCCAGCCCTTGGTGGGGAGGGGCAGGCAGGATACAAGGGGGACCCTAACTTGAGGGCCTACTATGTGTTAGCCCTTGGTGGGGAGGGGAGAGCAGGATAAAAGGTGGATCCTGACTTGAGGACCGACTATGTGCCTGCCTTT